ACCGTTGACGGTCCGGAGGACCAACCCAACCATGTCCTATGTAAAATAGGGACATTTTGGAAAAAGCAAAAGGAGAGAGAAAAATTTTAAAAGAAGCAAAAATGGACAAAAATGCCCTTATTTATTTTTAAATTTCCTAAGAAATCCAATACATTTGCATGTCTTTGATTTGAAAGTTGAGTGGTTTTTTTGTCTTTTTTGAAAAAGCTTTGGCTTTTTCCAATAGTGAAATTTTTTTTATGTCTAAAACCTAAAAAACCTTATAAAAAATAGTACAAGCGAACAAAGACTTTTCTGACCATCTGTGCCATCGCCACTGACTCCTCTACTTTCTCTCACTTTTCTGTCCGTACACATGGACATTGATGTTTAACATCCACCGTAAAAAAATTTATATCCTCTCTCCATCTAGTACGAGTAGGCAAAACTACCATTTCAACCTATCAAACCGGCCTTCAATCCAAAAAATAAAAAAAAACTATCTAACCGGCCGGGTAAATTAAATTGAGCCAGACGGGTTGTTCCGGTTTTTACGTTTAAAAGTGTAACTTTTTACTTAACCAAACCAATCCACAATTAATTTAATTTTGTTAGATTTGGTCTATTTTAAAAGGGCAATGATTTCCTCACTCCTATTTTATCCACTTACACTACTTTTTTAGTTATAAAAAAGGAGTGTAAGTGGATAAAATAGAAGAAAAATGAGTGGGGAAATCACCCTTCTTTTAAAAACCGCCTAAATTGAACCAAACCACATGTCTCCTTTTTTCTTTTTTCCCTTTTTTTCTTTTACACTTGAAATTTTCTTATTGTTTATTAACATATTGATATTATTTGTAACTTGCATTATGAAGTTCATTGGATATATGTAAGACAATATAGAATATTTGGTTAACTGTATAAGAAGAGAAATAAAATAACCAACCCAGTCACTACATGAATTGGTTTGATTCGGCTATGTTACTAATTTGAGGGCTAAATCGAAGCAAATCAATCTTTGATGTTAACATTTGTTAAATTGTAATTTGAAGCTTATACCAAACCAAATCGAATTGTGCCCACCAATAATCACTAGTTGCTCAATTGAAATAGAAAAATAAATAGTTTACACACATTTTCTTCGTCTTTTTTTATTGATACATAACTTCATGGTTTGTTATTAGAATAATTAGTTGATACTATGATTTGATGAAATTATCATTCACGTTGGTTTTCTACATGTAAGTTCATGATAATATTTCCATTAGATCATCATGGTAATGATATGTGCCTCCATTAGGAAGAGAGGGAGAATGTAACTCAGTTTCGGTTAAAGTTGGCTTGCTGGATCTTGGAGTTGAACGTGAATAATTGTGAGAAATTACCCCCTTGTGTATCCTTCTGTTCCTGGTGATAACCGACTTTTTATTTTATGTCAAATTGTGAAAAAACTTAGAGCTTTGAGGCCTGTTTAGGAGTGCTTTTGGAAGGCAAAAAACGTTTTCAGACAATTAAAAGTGCTTTTGGTAGCGTTTGACAAAAAAAAAAAACGCTTATGGGTCATAAAAGCGCTTTCTAGAAAAGCACTTGCTATGTGCTTCTTAAATGGATTATTTTTTTATAATGAAAATTCAATATTTTTATAATAAAAACATTTTTGTTAGAAGCGTTTATAAGCATAAATTATTTATAGAGAAGCAATTCCAAAGGAGCCTTTAGTCATTCTTCTCCACTGTCACAATGATAACTTTTGTGTCTGCACAATAGTTTTTATAATTTTAAAAATAAAATAAAATATATGGGTGTAAACATCCCAAGTCAACTAAACTTTTAGAATTCTCAAACTTCGGCTATATAATATATTTTCCTATAATTTGATGTACATGTAAAGCAATATATTTCTTACTTGGTGTGAATGGAAAAAGGGTTTTATTTTACTTTATTTTATTTTTTATGGAGTAGTCCTCTTCATAGGTCAAATAAAAATAGAAAATGGTGGGGTATTTCTACTACTCCTTGCAGTGGATGTAGACATTAGTAGAAATTTGTTATCTACATTTTGGATCCGTGTTCATGGAAGTTCTTTATCCCCAAATTGTTCGAAACGTTTCAACCAATTGGTCATTCAAAGCTTTGAAATCACGTTCACCTAACACACCTATATTAGCTAAGCAGTTGGAAAAAGCTACCACGCATAAGAATATCTGGGTACCCTTGGCTTATTGAGTGAGCAATGAATCCCAAAATGGGCTTACACAAATCACTCTTCACAAAAGTTAGCAACATTATATTAGGTTGTAAATGAGTGAGAGGGTGATTGATGATTTACCCAAAACGAATACAGATACTCACAATTTTTTCAAAGACCCGATGAGAGGTGAGTTTTCGTTAATAAAATCATAATCATTGCGTAAGGAACTTGTAGCTAAAATAATTAGGAACATTTACTATGTACCTAAAAAAAAGTTATATCAAAATTATTAAATTTTGAAAGAAGAAAAGCATCCAAAAAGGCAGATTCCCTAGTGATGACCATGTGAGGCTGAGGATTTTCAAGGCCACCATTTCCATTTCTTTGTTTTTTTATCTCTCTCCTTTCGGTCACAATTCAAAACTTCAAAGTGGGCTCTTATTAATTAATTATTCAAATTGGGATTTCCAATAAGTGCCTTTGAATCTTGAAAAAAAAAAAAGAAGAGAAGAAGATTTAATTGTTCAAATCAAATGTATATAAATTTAAACCCTTGAAGAGTTTCAACAAATAGAATTAATTATATATTAAAGAGAAAAAGAACATATCTCTTCAAAATGAAGGCAGTCTTTTTATATTTTACTCTCCAGAGACAAACCAAATCAAATGAGTTTAAGAGGTGCCTTGAGAAATGGATAAGAGGGGGACCAGTCATAATATTTTCATTTCTATAATCTCACAAAATAAATTAAATAAATTAAGCATGAAAATAAAGCTGCAAAGTTATTATTAAAGTGATAGAACCAAACTCTCCTTTTCCTGTTCATATTCACACCCTTTTATTATATTAATCCAGGGAAACCCTTTTATTAATTAAATTGTTCACCTGTTTAGTGTGAACATATAATAACTTAGAGAACTTTTGTTTCGGTGTATAGTTTAAAATTAACAGTCTAATGACGTAACATGTTAAAAAACGTAACTAGAGAATTCAAGATCAATGTATTGTTGGATTATTCTTTTTTTTTTTTTACTTATGAAATACTTTGGAGATATTACTTCCTACTTATCAATATATAATCAAAGAATATGCAAGAACATACCAAAAAGGAAAAGGCAATAAATCTCCGAAGAATTATCCTGAAAAAACACAGAACAAGTGATTGTATGTAACACTCGATCTGGGGATCATGGAAAAATAATTGATGAGAATGTGGCCTAAAAGCCCATCCTATAATAAAACCCAGACAAATGGAAATAAGGCCATTTAGAAAGATACTCGCTATGCCTCATTTGGGCCGTTGCAAACCTAACCAAAAAGATAGTCTCTTCTCTTGCCGTTTGAACCCCAAAAACAGAAAAAGTGAAAAAAAGATAGTGACTCGAGTGTTATTGACCAAAGGGTTAAATACGTTTTCTATCCTTATGTCTTTCAATTTGGTCAATTTGTCTTTGTGTTTTAATATGTTAATCATTTTGGACATGTTTGTCTAATTTGAGTGATTAATGTGGTTATGTGATACACATGAAAACTTACATATTTAAGTAAATTAACGTCAAGTTAAGTAAAAGAAACCAAGATTTTTATTGTGATAAAACATAAAGACCGAATTGATCAAGTTCAATTGTTTTGATAAATGTGATTTGAAAAAAAAAGGGGAAATTGAACTTAAGACTTCGGATGTAAGAATAAATGATTGAACCACTTGAGCCACAAGCCTCTTGCAATTGATCAAATTCAATTAAAAATATATGAACCAAAATAAAAATTCGAATCAAACACTTCGATCAAAATGGTATTTAACCCTAAAGAAAGTTGAGCTAACCCTATTGAGTCTTGAGGGGACATTCTATGTATGCTATGTCAACCCCTCTATATTCTTGTGCAAGAGTGTGAAAGGAATAATAATATCTCTAGAATCGCAATGCTATTTGCACTTCCACGCAACAAACAAAGAGCAAGAATGTCCCAATAAAATTAATAATTGGTAAAATTGACGCGCTTGAGATAGCTTTTGTATTTCACAATCTGATCAGCAACAGCAAGGCAACAAACAACAAAGAACCAAGTGCAAACAAAACCAAATTGCAATGTAAGTTGGAGCCTTTCTTCGCACAAATGGTACCAAAGCATCCTCAAATGAGAACCCCTCTCTCTCTCTCTCTCTCTCTCTCTCTCTCTCTCTCTCTCTTATGCACATCTTATGATTAAATTATGTTCGTTGTGCAATCACCAGTTCAGACGAGTGACAGTTGTGCATCAAGTTTGTCTCACGCGGCAAGCATATGTGCCTGCAATTACCCCAGACTCAACTCACTGACAACAAAACCAGCAAAGCGATGACACTAAAAATTCAACAAAGCAAAGCCTTTCTTCCTTATTGGTCTCAAACCAATCAATCAATGTTTCATTAGCCCAAACCCAAAACCCACAGTGACACTCCCAATGATGTCAACCACAAAAACCATGAGCAGCAACCACTTACAACTACATGTCCCCATTAACCCACCAACCAAATCTTCCAAAATATTCCACCAAAAACATACTTTTACCTTGACAACATCACATTTGTCATTAAATAAAATAGTTATATAAGTTGGTATTCCAAATTTCAAGCTTTCTGACACCATATTCGATGTATTTTAAGAATACAACAACATTCATGAAACTAAATCATTCAGAAAACAAATCTGAAGTATATTATTTAGGGAGGCTAGTAAAATATCCAAGAGAGGGAAATAACACAACCCAAACTCCATCTCAATCAACATTACATTAGTGGACAAATTATAAAACAATACCAAAATTAGAAACATTTTTGGGAACACCATTGGTATTCCCCAAGGGCCTGTAATATCCTGTTTTTCACCTCGGTTTGACCGATTTACGACTCTTTGGGAACTCGTCTCGGCTTTATCTTTGTCTTCTTGCTCTACGGCTACGGCTATTTGTACGCAGCTGGGTGCCTACGGTCAAAGCCTACGCACACCCTCCAACTCCAACCCCAAAAAGGCCCAACCTTTTCTTCTTTTCTCTGTAGCTCAGTCATATTTGCTTGCTTTTGTGCTCCAGATTGATGTCAAGCTGCCACCTTTTTCAAGCTAAAAGGTGAGTTTTCAACATACTGTATGGATACAGTAGGTACGAATATATGCTTATGTTAGTTTGTTGTTTGAATCTGTGAGGGCAATCGACAATGTATGTTTGGTTGGTGAGAAAATGTGGGAATTCTAGTGTTTGAGACCTGGGAAAGTATCAATTTCGCCTTTTGATGTATGGGTATTTGACTTAGCTGAGATGAGAGTGTAGACAATTTGTAATCAGTTATGTTTTTGTATTTTCTATGCTTCCTGAGCAACCAAGTGGAGGGTTAGAGTTAGAATTGTTTCATGTTCGTTTTTGGTTTTGCTTTTGAGCTAAGGTAGATTTAGGGTTTGTTTGAAAAGTTGTGATTTGGTTTTGTGTTTAAGAACATAATACAAGTTGTACCTCTTATTTTGGCGCAGGGATAAAGAGATCTACTGAATTTTTTTGTTGAGATTTGGTTTGCACTTTGGTGTATGAGCTTTAATGGGAGGTGAGATGGTGTCCGAGTCGTGGTTCGGTAGTTTGAGGTTCTCATGGAATCGTGTGGTGGAGGTTGAGAAGCCAGTGGTTGGGATTCTGGCGTTTGAAGTTGCGGGGTTGATGTTAAAGATGGTGAATTTATGGAATATTGTGGGTGAAAAGGAGATGCTTAGGTTGAGGGAAGAGATTGTTAACTCACCTGGGATGAGAAGGCTCGTGGCTGACGACGATGGTTACTTGATGGAACTTGCACTGAATGAGATAATTGAGAATTTGGGGTATCTTGCCATGTCAGTGGTCAGGCTTGGTAAGAGGTGCACTGACCCGGTTTATCATCGTTTTGAAGAATTTTTTGATGACCCTCTTGAGAATGGTTTCCAATGGCTTGGGTGGGAGTACAGGTGGAAGAAAATGGAGAGGAAAGTGAAGAAAATGGAGAGATTTGTTGAGGCCACAATGCAATTGTCTCAGGAGCTAGAAGTGCTGGCTGAGCATGAGCAAACTCTGAGGAGAATGCGGGCTAATCCTCAGTTAAATCGGGTCAAATTGCTCGAGTTTCAACAGAAGGTAATGTGGCAGCGTCAATTTGTGAAAAATCTACAAGAGATGTCTCCATGGAGTAGAACTTATGATTACACTGTCCGACTTCTGGCTAGATCCCTGTTTACTATTTTAGAGAGGATCAAGCTGGTCTTTGGATATGATCAAATGGGTTCTGGAGAGGGAAACAATAATTCTGAAATTACCAATTCTGCTTGTCTATCTCGCAGTCATTCGTTTTCTGCTCTTGTGCACTCTTCTGTTCATCCATCTGATGGTAATCATTGTGGGTTCTATTCAGGACCTCTTGGGAGGTCGCTTACAAAGCCAAGGCTTATTGCTAGTAGTAAGAATAAAACAAACAAACAGCGGCAAGCTCATCATCAGTCATCCATCCAACATGGAAATTATTCTCAGTTAAAAGCCAAAAGTTTTGCTCATGTTGGACCTTTTAAAGGATGCATGACGGGTGGAAGTGAATCTTCTGTTTTCCAGAGCTGCAAGCCAGAAATTGGTGGTTCTATGAGGTTGAGAAGTACCAATATGAAACATTGTGAGAAGTACACACATATGGGATCTCAATCTTTCAGCCACAGTATCTATTCTAAATTATCCCTATTTAGTTCAAAATGTACACTGTTGGCTGCCTCGCCGTCTACCCTTGGTGATGCTGCTCTGGCTCTCCATTATGCAAATGTGATTGTTTTGATTGAAAATATAGCTTCATCACCTCACTTGATCAGCCTTGACGCAAGATATGATCTATACAATATGTTAACCACAACTTTAAGAACTACTCTGAGAGCTAGACTAAAGTCATATGCCAAAACTATGGGCACATCTGTCTATGATCCTGCCCTTGCAGGAGAGTGGAGTCTGGCACTGGAGCAGATACTGGAATGGCTTGCTCCCCTAGCCCATAACATGGTGCGGTGGCATTCTGAGCGAAATTTTGTGAAGCAGCAGGAAGTTGCCAAGACAAATGTGCTTCTGGTCCAGACCCTCCACTTTGCGAATCAGGCTAAAACCGAAGCTGCAATTGTGGAGCTTCTTATAGGTCTGAACTATATGTGCATGATTGATGAGCATAATAGGAAGGCTTTGCGAGACGCTGGTGGCAACAGACTGTATGATGATTATATGCTCAAAAGGGATGAAATTGCTTAACAGAATTTGTGGACTGCATTAGTAGATTGTGGACTTCCACAGGTCTATAAGATGGCGATGTTCAATCAATGAAGTAACCTGGAGAAGAATGAGATGTTTTAAGCATCAAATGAACATTTTCTGCTTCTTTTGGGCAAGTAGATTTTCTCTTTTTCTCTTTTGTTCTTCTTTGTCTTTTCTTGGAACTCAAAGATTCTTTCATTTGTTCATATGGTGAATGAATTGGGGGCCAACGGCAACGTCCTTGTAAAGCATATCTTGTAATGTAACACGAAGCTCTTTGTAGCATAATCTATGGTATATTTGCACTACTCTTTTGACATATCTGTAGCTTCAAGATCTTATAATATTTCATCACATGGATTGCTTCTTCTTTGTTGTTTTCCTCTTTTTGTCCACTCTTTTTCCTCACGAGTCTTAAAACGCCAATTAGGATATAAAACAAAACAATTATATAAGCATATTCGATGGATATAGTCTTTTTCTTGTTCAATCTATGTATCAGAAAATATGTTCACTGTCTCTGGGAAATATATCGGTTTTCTCAATTTTCAGATAAATTATGATCTTGCCAAATAAAGACTGGTTACAGAAATACTGCTTTACTATTTTATCTAAATTTACTTAACTGCATTATTTGAGCAAATTGACTGAATTGTATGGATATACATGAGACTCTAAAAGAAAAGTCCATTTGAGTAGCTGGTTGGCCCATAAGAGCATTTCCACTCATCTCTTTTTGCCACAAAAAAAAAAAGTTACCATGACAAGAAGTGGGTCCACGAAACTGGGTAAGTTGACGTCATCAACCAATTTAAATACCAATTTTTTTTTAAAAAAAATTATATAAGTACCTAGCCATGTTCTTCACTTTCCATATCAAAATTAATACAAATTCATCTTTTCATATCTCATGTAAATAGATTGTCCTTAGGTTGCCATAACAAAGAGTGAGAATGCATCAAAAAATTGCTAATGCAGTCACTATTTATGTAAATAGTGTTTTCTCTTACTTGTAATCACAAGGGAAGGTCCAGTTAAATGACTTTTTTGTTATGGAAAACCATATATCATCAATCAATCATCTCCATTTCCACACAATATTTCTTCAATAATGTCACACAACCTATTTCTCTCGAATTTTTTATTTCAACTTATGGAATACTAAAGAATTGTTGTTTGTTTAATTGAATGATGTGGTTGAGAAAGAAAGTTGAAAGAAAAAATTGGGATAAGTAACATTTTCCCGCAATAAAGTTACAAGTTCGAATCAATCCATTTACAAAAGAGCTTAAGATATTGTATTATATTGTTACACAAGACAACTAATCAGATCTATTCATTCAAAAAGACATCATTAATAGTGTAAATTAACAAATTAAAACATAACATACTAGATTGTCTAGCGACAAAATTATTTGAAGATATTGAAAGCAGACATATTAAAACACATTTTTTTTTAAAAGACAAATGAGTCTTTAGTGACTATACCAAGCATTTTTTAGGCACTGCTAGTAATGGCACAGACTTTCTCATTGATGCCCCCAACTTGTCCTTCCAATCCATAGTGTCTCTGGTGACATTTCCATCAAGTGACCAATCAAATTGGTGAAGCAACATCCCCAATGTAAGATGCAGCATTCTATGAGCCAGAGGCACACCTGCACACATTCTTCTCCCAGCTCCAAATGGAATCAACTCATAATGTTGGCCCTTGTAATCAATTTTTGAACCTATGAACCTCTCAGGCTTGAATGAATTAGGTTCATCAACCCACACATCTGGGTCTCTTCCAATTGCATAAGCATTCACAAAAACCTGTGTGTCTTTTGGTATAAAATACCCCATGAATTTGGTGTCATCCATAGCCTTTCTTGGTAGTAGAAATGGAACTGGTGGATGCAATCTTAGTGTTTCTTTAATTATACCCTGCAAATAGGGAAGATTGTCAATATCACTCTCTTCAATCTTTCTGTTTGGACCTATCACTTGAGTGAGCTCGGCTTTGGCCTTCATCAATGTCTCTGGGTTGCATAGCAGCTCTGTCATTGCCCATTCTGTGGTGCTGCTTGTTGTTTCTGAACTAGCCATGAATATTTCCTGCACACAGTTTGTTCAATGATTATCAAAGCTTTTAAGAAGTGAAATTCTCTTGCCAGTCTTATCTTGCCGGACAAATACTTAAGTTGTCAGATTGTGAATCTAAATCACACATTCATGTACCAAGCGCGATCAATAATTCAGATTCACAGTTTGACAGACAATCTATAAGAGCATTTGAGAACACGTTATGTCATGATCTTTAAAAACTTACATCTAGTAATTTGAAGAGTTAGAGCTAAACAACCACTTACCAGTATAAAAATATTGAGATCATGTTCAGAAATTTTGTCTGGTTCATCAATTCCATTGCCTTCAAATTCAAGCAACAAATCCAAGAAGTCCCTAGTTTTCTCTCTACCCACCCCTCTCGCTTCCATGCGCTCCTTCACAAACTTAGAGGCAATCTGTATAGCTTTTCCAAGGTCCTTTTTCATCTTCCTCTTCAAGCCCTGTGGATCCAACCACCTTAGCCATGGAAAGTAATCAGCCATGTATGCAGCCCCATTCCACTCCATCAGTCCATTCATTGCCTTAAAGAACTCCAACCCTTCGTTTGACTTAGGATCCACCAAGTCCCTAGACAGCATGAGGTTCCCAAGAAGGTTGAAAGTCATAAGAAACACAAAACGAGCCACATGAACTCCATGTCCTTCTTTGAGCTTAGAGGCTTCCTCTTCTATCCACAACTGCAAGTTGTCAAAGCACTTTCTTCGAACGAAGGCGGTCTCGTTGATGCGCTTGTTTACGACCATGTCAACCGTCATTAGCCGCCTCAACACCCGCCAGTGTGAGCCGTAAGGGGCTAGAGCCAATGACCCCTTGTGGTAGTCATAAACCCGGCAAGCTTCATTTATGGTGCGGTTTGCAAATGAGAGGTCATGGTTTTTGAAAAACTCAGAGGCTGCTTTGGCAGATTGAACTGACATAGTTGCTCTTGCACCAAGCCGTAGCCAAATTACAGGACCAAACTTGGGCGTTAGCTCAGTGAGAGTCCTGTGTGGCATCGTGCCGAGGTCGAACATGTTGCCGAATATAGGCCATCCTGGTGGTCCAGGAGGAAGCAGATGGTTGCCCGATTTTGATCTCCGGCGGATTAGCAAGAAGAGCAGAGCTGGTAACAAGAAGATGAGAAAATAAACTAGAAAATTCCAAGAACACCACTCCATTGAGTTGAAGAAACGAACCGTTGTTCTTGCTCTCTAGGGTCAATATTGTTGTCTGCAAGACTGCAAGTAAGAAAGCATGAAGGGAAGGTTCCCTTTTTACAAACTTTATTTGTAGGACGCTGCTTGCTTTTGTAGGGGCAATGTTTAAATGGATAGTCCTGCGACTTTTTTTGCAGCACCTGCAATAGTTGACTGGTTATGGCCGCAGGCGTTGGCGTTGCTGCAGTCGTTGTGTCTTCATTTCATGTGGACCTGCTGCCTTCTCAGATTGAGTTGAAGTCTTGTCGTGATCTCTTCCCTTCTTTGGTTTTAAGTGCGGATAGAGAATCCAACACCTGTTTCTAGTGCGTTTGGGTTATCCACAATAGTCACACTTCACAGTATCCCCTTGTCCCTTCCTTCAGTCAACTGCAAATGCCCTCGACTCTGAAGTCACGGTCTGTGACTTTGTTTCATTGTGCACCACTTTCCTTCGGATTTCTTCTCTTTGAATAATGGTACAGATATTGTTGAAGGAAGGCATCTCAGTACTCATGAGAATGTTTTTTTTTCTAAGATCTTCATAGTCTGAGAGTCAAGACTTGCAAGCAACTGAAATTTTTTATCCTCCTCTGCCCTCTGCACAAGAACCTTGTATGAGGTCGATACAGGGCAAGCTCATTCCACACACCTTACAACTTCCCAAGATGCGCAATAAAGGACTTTCCCTCTTGATAAGCTCCTGCAATTTCTCTCTTTAACTCAAAAATTCGGGCTGCATTGTCTTGCTGCCCCTACATCTCTTTAAGAGACTCCCACAAGTTTTGAGAGGAATCTGAGTAGCTGAAAATTTCAGCCACCCGTGGCCCCATGGAATTCAAAATCCAAGACATAACAAGTTGATCCTTTGACAGCCGTTCTTCAAATTTTGGATCACCATCATCTGGAGCTGGAATTTTTCCATTATTATATCCCAGCTTTGATTTTCCTCCAAGAGCTAAAATAACAGCTCTGGACCAAGGAATATAATTGGAACCATTCAAGAGAACAGAGCAAAGCCCCATGTTTGGATTTGCCTCAGACTCAGAAATAATAGTAGCTGCAGCATTAGTAACAGTAGTGGTAGATTCAACTTTTTCTCCCATGGCAGAGAAAATAGCGGAGAAGACAACCGACTAAAGAAAAGGAGAAACAGGGGGGCTTCTACCACACCTGCTCTGATACCATGAAGAAACAAAGACTATAAAATAGCAACAGACAAGAACAGAGAATTATAGTGGTTCGGCTGTTGATGCCTACATCCACTTTGAATGAAATTGTCTTATTCATCATTAGCTCTTTAAAGCTTTATAATGGTTACAACACAAAGCAAGAATAAACAATGATACAATTCTCAAGATAGGCATGGAATTGTAACCTGCACTCGAGACAAGCATGCTCCACTACTACACAGCTATCCAACTATTAATATTTTATTTCTGATCATTTTCATACCAATACCACTATTCATATAACTTGTTCAACAGTAAGACAATCATTCTTAACTGATGCACAAGTGTTTCATTTGTACATGTTTGAGATTATAGTACATTTAGAACTCGCTTACTTTTAATAAATAAGACAGTAACATATCGCGTGTCACGCTATTTGTAACGAAAGGTGGTGTTTTAAAACATATGAAGCGATAGCTCTGTTTTTATCCTGTTTTCTCTGGATTTCTTTAATGAGATCAGACTTCGAGAAAAGAAGAAGCTATAGCGACTACACCGAGCACTTTCTAGGCACAGCTAGTAAGGGCTGAGACTTTCTCATTGTTATCCCCAACTTTTCCTTCCAATCCATAGTGCCTCTTGTCACATTTCCATCAAGTGACCAGTCAAATTGGTGCAGCAACAAGCCCAAAGTAAGATGCAACATTCTATGAGCCAGTGGCAAACCCGCACAAGCTCTTCTTCCAGCCCCAAATGGAATGAACTCATAATGCTGACCCTTATAATCAGTTTTTGACCCTATGAACCTCTCAGGCTTAAATGCATTAGGCTCATCAACCCACACATCTGGGTCTCTTCCAATTGCATAAGTATTCACAAATACCTGTGTGTTTTTGGGTATAAAGTAGTTCGTGAACTTGGTGTCCTCCATAGCTTTTCTTGGTATTAGGAATGGGATTGGTGGATGCAATCTTAGGGTTTCTTTAATTATGCCCTGTAAATATGGAAGTTTTTCAATGTCAGTCTCTTCAACTTTTCTGTTTGGCCCTATAACTTGAGTGAGCTCGGCTTTGGCTTTGGTTAATGTCTCAGGGTTGCATAGAAGCTCAGTCAGTGCCCATTCTATTGTGCTGCTTGTTGTTTCTGAACCTGCCAGAAATATTTCCTGCATCACAGCATAAGCAATACAGATTATAATTCATAAGTTGACAAGTTCTATGGTCACTTCTGAACAAAAAAGAAATGTAGTACTGCAATGAGAATTACAAGGCTTGTATCTCTTTATTTGTTTTTTTATCAGCATATCGAACAGTTCTCAACATGGTTAAAAACGTTACAAAATTGTATTAAGTGATATGAAACAGGCATGACCAAATTAAACTTAACATGTTAAAAAAACTATGTATTGAACAAGGAAAACAACACCACTTACCAGTATGAAAATATTGACATCACGGTGAGAAATTTTGGCTGGTTCATCAATCCCATTGCCTTCAAACTCAAGCAACACATCCAAGAAGTCCCTAGCTCTCACTCCACCCACCTGCTTCTCTTCCATGCGCTCCCCAACAAACTTAGAAGCAATTTCCAGAGCTTTTCCAAGATCCCTCTTCATCTTTCTCTTCAAGCCTTGTGGATCAAGCCACCTCAGCCATGGAAAGAAATCAGCCATGTTGGCATGCCCATTCCACTCCATCAATCCAGCCATTGCAGAAAAGAACTCCAACCCTTCTCTTGAGTTGGGGTCCACCAAGTCCCTGGACAGCATGAGGTTGCCAAGAAGGTTGAAACTCATAAGAAACACAAAGCGAGCCATGTGAACTCCATGCCCTTCTTCGAGCTTCGAGGCTTCCTCTTCTATCCACAATTGCAAGTTGTCAAGACACTTCTTGCGGATGAAGGCCGTCTCATTAATGCGCTTGTTCACCAGCATCTCAACCGTCACAAGGCGCCGCAACATACGCCAGTGCGCACCATAAGGGGCCAGAGCCAGTGACCCCTTGTGGTAGTCAAGCACACGGCTTGCTTCGGTTGTGGTGCGTCCTGCAAATGACATGTCGTGGTGCTTGAAAAGGTCTGCGGCTGCTTTGGCAGATTGAATTACCATAGTGTTTCTTGCACCGAGCCTTAGCCAAATTACAGGACCAAACTTGTGTGTTAGCTCAGTGAGGGTCTGGTGTGGCATTGTTCCAAGGTCGAACATGTTGCCGAACACAGGCAGTCCTGGCGGACCGGGAGGAAGCCGATGGAGGCTCGAATTTGATGATCTCCTTCGGATCAAGAAGAGCAGAGCTGGTAAAAGGAAGGTGATGAAATAGACAAGAAAATTCCAAGGCCACTCCATCATGGTCAGGGACTCAAAGCAATGAAGTGTGCTTTGCTCTCAAGCTAGCTAGCATCTAATATGAATGTACCATATAAACATACCTTTTTAACCTCAAAGGCGAGTTTCGAAATCACATCTCTTATCGAAACGGGATTCTCTTATCGAATGGGATTAGCACACATGTAAACTTCTTGTAGCCGTCAGTTTCAGATTTCTTCAATTTTAGGTAGAAGAGACAAAAAGACACTATATGTGCCACAAAATATGATTGGTAATAGGTAGATGATGCTACCCTAAAGGCCTCGACTATGGAGGCCATGGATTTATGTAAGCATAAGACTAAAACCTACTTTGTATGCATCTTTGGTAACGTATCTGACGATAACAACAACCCAACAACCTCAGAAAAAAGTATTCTTCCGTTTGATTATTTTAGAACGTCTACAATTTCTAGTGTTTCTAGCTATAATTAGAACGTCTACAATTTCTCGAAATTCCTTTTCTTTCTTTCTCTCCAGATAAATGAGTTTGCCATTTTGACATGTAAATTTCATTGCAAATAAATTATCTCAGTGTATCTCCAACGTCCTTATGCTTTCCTTATAAGGTTGATTTGAAACCCCAATCTTTATAATTAAACAACAATGCAATTATGCAAAAGTGAGTTAGGCCAGTTGGTCAGAACAGTGAGTCCGTCCTCCATGCATTCAAGTTAGAATCTATGTCTATGTATAATTTAGATTATTACTTGTATTTTAAAAAATAAAAAATAAAAAAACAATTTGTGGTCATCTTTTGTACTGTTGTAGCAGGGTATCTTTCCAAATTTTCCCAAAGAATCATCACTGCAGTCAGTCATTAAAGTAAGGTTGATGGCTATTTTTTATTTTGGTGAATTAAGATTGGTGCCAATTGGCAAAGCAAAACCCCCTCTCCAACTAATGCACATATATATATATATATAATTTTCTGATCTCTTGCCTGCAGGTTATATATACCATGCACTAAAACATAAGTTACATAACTCCAAATATATAATTTTTCCATTAAAAAATAACATACATATCAAATCAAGCACACATTGATATTAGACTTTCTCTCTTCTCTTTCTTAACGCGGTAGATTCCCTTGTTTTATTGATGAATTATATATCCAGGATTGGAAGCACTGTTCAATTATTCTGCCACATCACCCTTATGTTCTCTCTCTCTCTCTCTCTCTCTCTCTCTCTCTGAGGTTATGAGCCTATGGGTGTTCAAGATGCTGGCAGATAGATGCAATTTCATTCAACTCTGTTTTCTTTTCTTTCTGTTCTTTTAAACAACTTCGAATTGTTTTCTCCTGTCATGGAAAAATTAAATCTACCCTTGGCTTTGGAGCAAGTCTCAGGTACAAAAAGCAAATCTTAGCCAGCGCTATCACATTTGGAACACATCATCAATTTGATAGGGGCCCTATGAAATGATCATACAAAAAAACCAATTAGCTAGGTAGCCCAACATAAACCCTCACGGGCCGAGAAGATCTTATACAACAACTTCATATTAGTCCAAATAAAAAAATCTATACTTTAGAGCACTTTCATCCCATTGTGCCATGGCAAAGGGCAATGGCAAGTAAGGGCAAATACTATTCACATGCATGAATAGTGACTTTCTAACAATTTTTTGATGCATTCCCACCCATTGCCATGACAACCACTATTTACATGAGATACGATGAGAGGAATTTGTACGAATTTTGGTGTGGAAGGTGAAGAACATGGCTAAGTATTTATAGAAAAAAAATTCTTAATTTTTTGGTTTTTTGTTTATTAATTTTTTTAGTATTTAAATTGGCAATGCCAGCTTGCCCAGGTAGCAACCCATGTTAGTCTTGCCTTCGGGCTTGCCTAGTTTCATGGACCCCTTTCTTGCCATGACAACTTTTCCTTTATGGGGGTTGTTTTTGGAGCCTAAGCCCCCTTTTGCCATGAGTGGAAATGCTCTTATTAGCTCTATAGTCATAAATTATTCCACTTTCTTTAATTTTACAATAATATCAATCACTTCATAAGATATAAAGATCAAATTATGCCACTTTCTTTAACATGACATGGTAACATAACTTAA